GGGCCATGGCAGAAAAGGCCCTCTTCCTAGATCCCACCAGTTGAAATTCCTTGACTGGTGCGGTCTGCAACATGCCCCTTCTGCTGGACCAAGTGAGGCGGGCTGATATAACAGGGGTGAGACGGCTCCTCAGATAATCTGGTCTTGTGCCATGAAGGGCTTTAAAGGTGATAACCAACACCTTGAATTGGACCTGGAAGCAAACCGGCAACCAATGCAGCTCGCGTAACAGTGGTGTTATATGGGCCCCCCAGGGGCATTCAGAATTGTCTGCGCCGCTGCATTCTGCACCAGCTGTACCTTCTGGATACTCTTCAAGGGTATATACATGCATATGCCTACCACCCTTCCAAATGCCTACTCAACTTCTCCAGAGATTTCTAACCTGGACAGTGCAGAACTTGTTTAAAATGTGAGCCAATCCTGAAGCTTGCCCACCCCTAAATAGTTCTGCTGAAGATCTGGATATTCCTGATGATATTCTTTATTTTGTATTTGAAACTTATGGTTCCCTATGTTCATGCCTTTGGCAATGCTCTGCTACCATAATCAAATACCAGGGACTTTCTTGAGGACTCCTTTCATTCTTCAACCAACCAAACCAAACCAATCTTGAATCCAGTCCCCAATTTTAATTCTTGTTGTGAAGTCTTTAAATATCCTTGATTTGGCCACCAAGTGCATTTTTTAGCCATGGAATCCAGTGTGGAAACTTCCTATCACGTAAATCTAAGAATCAAGTGGTTTGGCTCTCATACCCCTTACTTGTTATCTTTATCTTCTATCTGTCCTGCTCTAGTGTCTAGACTTTGATTCCAGATCTAGAATCTAGGAAAAGTTTTGTGTTTGTCAGTTTTCCCCAGTCTGGCTGCCCTCCAGATGTGCAGACTTCAGATGCTGGCTGGCTAAGGAATTTTGTGAATTGCTGTCCACGCATCTGGAAGGTGCTCCAGCTGAAAAAGACTGGAATAGGCTCTCCTTGCTAAGTTTTATTTCTTTAATCAGAATGTTTTGCACCAGGATTCCTAAACTATGCAATCTAAATGTAATTTGGGAAGATTAGCAGTTGCAGCCCTGCCCGGAGCAGGAAGATACCATAATGGTAACTCCTGGTCTACCTAGTTGGACTAGTGCAAAGCACAATGCAATCTACATAGGGCCACCTTTAAAGAACACTCAGCAACTGCAGCAACATAGCTGCTAACTGGCACTAGGCACCAAGAGCACATTACATCTGTGCTGTAGGTCCTGCACTGGTTGTCAATTTAAAGTGTAAATGGCCTTATTTCCTAATTGTTCATGGATACTTGGAAATTAAAGGGCCATTTATGGCCTTTTATTTCTGAACTTCGGCTGAATTTATTTCCCCTTCTAGATATATCTACTGTCCCATTTTCCTGAAGCACAACATTCAATCTACCCATGCATCTCACACCTGTGCAAAAGGTCCTTTTGTTCTTACATTCAATGTTACGTGTGTACAAAATCTGTGTGTGCATGTGTATATATTACACTGTAAATGACTGTCTCTTCCAATCAGATTCTGCCTATCTTGTATTTCATCCTGAAAGGAGGTACAGAACATCCCCAACTTATGCGAGATGAAGGGAACAGGGGCCCACTTGAGCTTCACATTATGAAGCTTACCCGCTGAGCTTTGTGGGCCCCCCAGTCTGCTAGACGTTTGTAAGACAGTTAAGATTACAGAATGCTGCCAAGCTCTTGGTCACTAATGCAAGTTATGGACTGCCTTTTTGACATTATCTATTTTTACGACATTGTGTTTTATTTATTGCATTTATATGAGTCTTTTCATTTGTTGGTGTTAGGGGATAGTTTTGATGTACTGTGGATAGGACGTATACACATTTTACCTCCTATAGGTGATGGTACCTCAAATATTCCATAAAAATATACATCCACCTGCCTTGTGGTTGTCCTTTACATATGAAAACAGTAGAGTCACGAAGAAAAAAGTCTGTTAGCTTAAACAGCTTCTTACCTTGTTTTTTCTATTGTCATTGTACTTGATCAGGTCTAAAATGAACATTAAAACCTCTTTAGGACACAGATTATGAACATCTCTCAGCAAGGCCATTGCCACTGGCATCGTCTGTGGGGAAAAAAACATGCAACCCTAATAATTAATTGTTTCAGTTCAAATTTTAATTAAATCATACTCAATTTCACCCTCCAACAGTAAGATTAATATCATACAAAATTCCCTAATAAAATGACTCCCAAGACACGCAGTCACAATTTTGAAGAAGTAGAGGCTCTCTATTCAATTGGATTTAAAAACCAATTTGCAGGATCAGATCAGAAGACTAACTACTTGGGTACACTATTTACAACAGTGTAAATAGCCAGGCAGATGGACTGCCATCTCCTAATAAACAAAACATTTCTGGAAACTGAAGTTTTGTATACATATTTTGGCTTATTTCTGGTATTTGTTCATTTCTATGGTGGCTATCACTAAATGAATTAACTCTACATGGTATGAAAATAGCCATATATCTCACCCATACATCCCAGATGATTAATACCAGGAAATGCTAAAGAACACTAACCAGGCAGTTAAGCAGTGGGGAGAATGTACCAAATTAATCAGGCACAAAAATGTTGGATATAAACCACAGGCAAGTTGTCCAAACATATCTAATAAAATTTATTTCTGCTTATCTTTGTGCAGACAATTTAACAAATCAATAGTTATCATTTTTAATTATCACTTTTCTGAAGCACATTTTGCTTTTCATTGCAAAGAAATGCCGTACCTTATGAAAATATCACACGCATCAAATAACAGCAACTATTTTTGTTTTTTCTCACACTATTCTAATCCAGCCTTGAACCAAGCTCTACTATGGAAAGCTGCTATGTTTAGAAAATCAACTAAGACGATAAATTACTTTTGTACCTTTTGCAGAAAGTAGCTCTGAAAGTTCATGAAGTTATTGGTTTTCACAATATTTGGGCAACTTTTACAACAGAACATTCGAGTGAAGAGAGACTTCATGGCTGGTGGTCCTGTCCATGTACTCACCATGAAATTTGCAATCTGTATAATTAGGAAGAAAAAAAGAAGCCACATTACTAACAGCGCTGCAGAGCTTGGTCTATTGCTACATCTCAGTGCCAATTTCTCTTTTCATCATATTTATTTCCAGCTTGTGCGGAAAAGGAAAAAAAAAAAAGAACATTTCTGTAAATGAATATTCCTAATTGTTTAAAAGGTAGAGCCTTTCAATCAGCATTTTTCATACCTTCCTACTTTCACATTTGCCCACTAAATAACTCCTATGTATCTGAGATGGAATCCCTGCAATGTGGGGGTGAGGAAGGGTGGGGGGGTTGTGCCGTAAGCTAAAGCATCGATGCATGCAAAAGCTTTTGCATTTATGTATACAATCAGTAAGGATGAAGTAGCCCAAAATTTATCCGATATGACATGGCTTGACACAGCAAAAAAATATTGAGCAACATTTGTCAGGCAGCTTCTCTGTCATTTCCAATATTGTCATTGAGTAACTCCTGGGGTTTGAACATGATTTGTAAACCAAATCTATAAATAAATATGCTACCTGAAGCACAGATAGTTTCTCACCACTATAACGTATTAAATACATTGTAACCTCAGTGGATACTTTAAATTCAGTCAATGAAAGAGTTTTTACCTATAGGTCATGTGTAACTAATTATTTTCCACAATCAATCTTGGTTTTAATTATTTTCCTCCCATCGATGTTTCAGAAATTCCCCTCCCCCTTAAAAAAGCCACACATTCAATCTTTAAAGAAGATTGAAAAGAAGCTAGTCATGGAAGAGGCATCAGCATTACTGATTTCCTCAACTTATCCTGCCAATAACCTCAATGAAGATTTCAACCATGCCTCCGCCACCCGGGGAGTACAAGATCACCCACGGAGAAAGACAATTCAGAATTCAGAATCTTGCCAAGTGTTGAGTTCCAGTTGGAAAACAGACATGGCAGTAAAGCAAAGTTAACAGCTGATCTATTTGCCCTGCATTCTGAGTTAAGACAACTATTTTACTGGCTAGTAAAGGACTGAAATCTACCCCATTTGTGAACACAGTACAGAAGGCAAAAGAACACTTTTCTTAAGTAAAACCTCCCCCCAAAAAAGGTAGCAAAGTAGTCCTCTTTTACCTAATGGCTAGACGGAGGTCACAGCCTGAGAGCTGTGTTCAAGTGCTTTCCTCCAGTCGGTCGGCCAGCAGAAAAGTGTGCCAAGGCAAACTTCACTGTCGATCCCTATTCTACCCTAATAGTACAACAGACAGTGGTGTTATCCTTAGTGTTTTAATGCAGGACAAGAGATGGGTGGATTCCCTTGGCTTTGCTACCTTTCCAACTGGTTATCCTTCACCAGTGGTAAAAATTACTACTGATTTGTCTCCTTAATGTATGGTGGAGCTTTAGGCTAATGCTTCTAAGAGAGCACTAAACCCATGTCCCTAAATAGGCATGGAGGAGGAGCGTGGGGCAGCATGAAAGCAATCAGTAAACAGTGCCATCCTTGGGTGACAATGCAAGGCTATGGCAGTGCTGGCAATGAGTGCTGTGGCTAGTAGCCAACAGAGCAAACAAGAATGGTACCCAGAGGTGTCTCCAGGGAGGGGAGTCAAAAAAGTGAAGATGGCAGCTGTGGGATTGTGGCTGCCATCTTGATTTGGTTTTGACCCTGTGGATATCCGTGATGGCCCTGCTCATCAAAGTAAAACAAAAACAAAAAACAAAAAGTACTGGCACATGAAAGAAAAATTCTGCAGTAAAATCAACCCTGACAGTGACCAATGGTTCCAAAAGTGTTAATACCAAAGGAACTTGCTAACAGAGGCCACATTAGGGGATGACATCCTATTTATGGAAATAGTATCCTATGCATTTGTTGTAAAGGGAGAGCTAGAGGTTCCAACCCTGTCTGGCAGTGAAGCTCATTCAGAAAATTTGGGCAAGTTTACACTCTTGTTCTTTTACTGTAGTATTGTGCAATCCATGTGACTTTCTCCAAGTGCCTCATCTTTCCTGTTTAGGCAAGTGGCTACCCTCACCCTTAGCCAGAGTTGTTTCAGAGATAGCAAGCAAATTGTTCACTACCCTTTCCAAGCATATTTGTTAGTCTGGGGTATTTCTGAGCTTTGTGTTACTTTCAGCCCACCCCACTTCATCCACCTGTTGTGAGGATGAAATGGGGAGTACCGCAAACCATTTAAATCAGCTGTTGCAGCTAAAAGCAGTGTGGGATAGTGAACATTTTCAAACAGCACCCATATAAATTCTTAAAATATTTTTATTTTCACTTTGAGCTATGCTGCTAAATACTATGAGATACTTTGCTCAAGCTTTAAAGTTCAACTTTATACCTCATACTATAAACTTTTTTCCTGCTAGCCAGAAATACTGATTCTAAATCACCAGATATCTAGTATTATTTTTTCTTCTTTTTAAAACAATTAACCTACATGGAAAAAAGACCAAATTATTCAGGTTGACATGAACATTTTACAATCACTCAGGGACAAAGGTATTTCTGATAAATTGGAGCGATGTGCATTCCAACCATCTGTCAAAATATCAAATGAACACCCATTTTCTTTAATCCTAAGGATTACTGAAATAGAAATGTGTTTGCCTGTGACCTTACTTTCAACAACTATCATGAAAATTACTATGACCCTTTTTTCAAGATAGGTTTATAAACACTTGCTAAATATTTCCATATACCTGGATGCATAGACAATTCTGAAGGTGAGGCAAAATTTTACTTTGTATTAAACTGCTAATAATTAAAATATATAAAAGTATGTAAACTCTGCACTGCAGCTTTGTAACAATAAAATACAAGTTTCTATTTCTCAGATAGTTGATCATCATAAATTGTTATCATTCAGAGAAATACTTCAGAGGTGCCCAAGAACTGCCATACCTCTTAATATGACAGGAATTTTCTTCCATTAGAAAACAGATGACCATCTTTGTTACTCATTCCTTTCATGCTATATAACCTTCTGAAATACCTACATGGTTAAAAAAGTTCTGCAATGGCACAGAGGGTAGGTTTAAGGAAAACACATTCAGAAACGTGCTAAGAATCCAATCAGCTGTTCAGGACTTTGGATTGAGGGTAACAATATTATGTATAATTTTAGTCTGTTTATAACTATGATGAAAGATATTAAGTCAAGGGACTCTAAAAGAACTTGTACACTACCCACAACTCTTGAAATTTCATACTATTCTTTATTTATAGAAAGGAAAGAAAAAAGAATAAATTTAACTTTTCCAACCTCAAAAGACCACAGCCATACGTTGCACATTTTTCTGGTCTTGACAATGAAATCAAACAATACAAGGCTAAAATAGATTCACTGATTATTATGTGCAAAATTCTGTGATCTGGCCAGATTCTGGACAGGCTCCATATAAAGAGATAAGATGAGCTACAGAATATCATAGTAACATGATGTTACCAAGATAAATAAAAATACAGGAGATCATGAAATGTGTGTGAACATGTTGCAAGCACCTTTTAAACTAACCATTTAAAATTTAATTTTTTTCCCAAACTTTAAAAATTAAGAACAGTTGAAATCTCACAAAAACTATGTATGAGAATATACAAATTTTCTCTAATTTCTCTCTCACAAGATTTGGACATTCCTTTTTTTATTTTGACAGTAAGCTGATGCCATCTAGTGGCATCTGAGTACAAAAGTACCCATGGACCCTACAGTAGAAAACCCTGATCTATGGTTTCAAAGTGATGAGAGATGGACAAAAACTCTGTTCCCAGTTTGCTACAGGTACATCACACCTCACCTTTAGCAGTTGCTCAGACTTACCGAACCTGCATTAACAGGTTCAGACTTACAGAACCTGCATTAACAGATTTGACAGAACTCCCTAGCCACTTCTCACCTTTGCAAGACAGAAGCAAGCCATTATCCTCACTCGGTAGAAACACTGCTCTTGTTCGAGAATATCAGTCAGTGCAAGCCGTGATGCTGGAGTGGGGAACTTCTGAAGAGCCAAAATGGATTCCTCCTGTGCAACCACATCTCTCTCATAGCGGAGTTGGTACTGCCACATGAAGTCAGCCTGTTCAAATTCTACCTTCCTTAAAACAGACATATCTGGATCTATTCTTATCCATAGTAAAGGGGAATCAGCACTGAAAGAAGATGATCAAAACTTAGGACAGGGCAGCAAACTAATTTAATAGCACTATTTCTTTTCTTCTTGCTAAAAGTGGCATCTCTGATATTTTCAGTATGAAAATTGGTAGCACATTCAGGATAGTGAACTCTGTGCTTAATAAATGTTTATCTGGAAGGCAATTTTGAGTACAAATAACACCGCAACCTATATGCCTGAAAATAATCTTAAGGAAACATAACAGAAAATTCGGTATTGCCTCATTCCAGTTCCTACCAATTCCCTTGGGGTCTTATCTCGCGTCAAATTTTACAATGTAAGCTCTCTGGAGGGTTACAAAGAAACCCCTCATCCTGCACAATATAAACAAAGTTATAACGACCTACACAAATTTGGAGGCTGTAATAATTCAAGTATACAGCGGTACCTCGGGTTACGAATTTAATCCGTTCCATGACTCTGGTCGCAACCCGATTTGTTCGCAACCCGAAGCAA